TGTTAGAACTCAATGATTATCCTAATTATATTTTAAATTTTTTATATTTAAAATGAGATGTTTATCCTATATTTGATTGTGTTTATTTACAGTTAGTTACACAAATTCTGATATAAGATGAAATCGGATAGAGATGAAATCGTTTAGGGGATGAACGAGTTTAAGAGTTTTTAATAGTTTTAGTAAAATGTTTTATAATATAATATAGATAAATTATATAAAAAATTAATCTTTTAATGTTTTTAATTAATATAAAATATGGGAAAAGGAATTTTGATTGATTTAAGGGTATATTTAGCAACCCTTTTATGAAACCATATATAGAAGAGGAAGAGTGGGTATGTTAAATTGTTAATGAATTGGTTTAGAGATATGTTTAGCAACCCTTTATGAAACCATGGTCCACCCCTCCACTTCTCACCACTTCCATTATCATCTCCAAAAGTATATTCAAAACACGTATGTAAGCTCTTTACCAACCCTCAAATCATGGTGGCTTTCGCTTCCATTGCTTGTCTCTCCAGCAACAATGGCAGCCCAAGAACACCCAAGAAACAACCCACAAATGACCCGCTCGGAATCCTTGCGTTCGAGGCTGCCAAGATCGTATCCCGCCTTATCTCCCTCTACAAATCTCTCTCCGATTCCGAAATCTCCAAGCTTCGAAAAGAAATCTTTAAATCGAAGGGCGTTGTGTATCTCAATTCCGATGACGAAGGGCATCTCCTAAAGCTAGCCTACACCGAAAAGATGGAAAATCTCGACAAGGCTGCAGCGGCCGTCGCTAGGCTCGCACGGAAATGCTCGGATTTGATGTTGAGTGGGTTCGATACGGTTTATTCTGATATTAAATCTGGAAAAATGGATTTAAAGAAATTTGATTACGGATCAGGAAAGACGAAGAAGGAGATTCGTATGTTGAAGAAATTCTTGTCGACGACATTGTATTTGTATGGTTCGATGAAAACTTTTCATGGGTTGGAAATGTCGGAAAAGAAACTGAATTTTCCGGTACTGTTGAAATACATGAACTTTCCGGCGATTGATCTGAAAATAACGCCGCCGTACCGGAAACAATCTCGTCATGTTAATAACACGAATCTATGGACCCAACCTTTCGATAAAGTGGTTCGATTAATGTCGAGGGTCGTCTGCGTAATTTATGCCCGGATTTGCGTGGTGTTTGGGCCATATGTTCTTGATTTGCCGACGGGATACTCGAGTGGACAACGACTAGTTACCGATCATATCCCATCTGAATACTGGATTTTAGAACCAAGAAACGGGAATCGATCACCTCGATCACGACTCATTAGATCGAAATCGAAAGTGATAAAACATTTCGTTCGAAGTAACGGCCGGAAGATACTTCCGGCCGGTGGATGTAAAACCAACCACTTATTTCTCACGGCGGGGCCGGAGACCGTTGGTGGGTCACGTCTCCAGATTCTTTATGCCAACCTGATAATGATGGCGGAGGAATCCATGAAACGAAGACGAGCAAAAGACGAGATGCGGGATGCTATGTACAAAATGTTGCCGGATAATTTGAAAGCAATGGTGAAGATGAAGATAAGGAAGCTCAAGGAGGACAACAATGGAGGAAAGGAGAAGATGAAGGAAGCATTACACAAGATATTTGTATGGTTAGTACCCATGGCACACAACACGTTGGTGTGGCAAAGGGAGAGGAGGGTGGATATGACTAGTTTGGAGACGAAGCCTCCTGTGTTGTTGTTGCAGACATTGCATTTTTCAGATAAGGAAAAGGTGGAAGCTGCCATTGCTGAGGTATTAGCAGGTTTGAGTTTGATATACATGCCAGATAATCGCCGTGAGCCGGCGGCAGCTTGACGGTGGCAGGCGGTTGTTTGGAGGTGATAGAAATGCCGGTATATAGTTGAAACTATATATATATCTCTTAAATGAACAATACATAACTGTAGTGCTAACCAGAAATGGAGGGATTTATACCTCTACATATATACATATAAAAGTTTTTTATCCTCTTCCTTGCATATCTTTCTTTATTGGTTAGTAAAACAAAATTGGTTATTTAAAAGTCCTAATGAAATGTTTAAACTTAAGAATAAACTAAAAAATTCCAATATAGTAAGTTTACAGGATGTTTTTAGAACGTTTTTAAAATAAAATGTTGTAACCATAAGGGTGGTGCCTGATTGATTTGAGCTTGGCTCCAAAGGTAAAAAGTTCTAGGAGGTCTCAGGTTCAAATCCAATGAGAAATAAAAATCCCTTTGTGGCCACGGAGGTTCGAATGCGGTGACGCCGGGCTACCTGCAAAGCAGGTGGTCGTTCTGGGATTAGTCGGCTCGCATAGTGAGTTGGATATCCAGGTTAATCAAAAAAAAGTTGTATTAGTTATTTTATATAACATTATTTGAAAAAAAGTATCGTATAAACACAAGTGTTCTATAAAAAAATGAGTTTATAAGAAACTTCTCAAAGATGTCTTATACGTTCAAATTAGGTGTTGCAATTTACTAGCTTTGTCATCATTTATAAGGGGAGATTGTTGATCATCCTCAATGCTTTGATGATAACCTTTCAAACACTTAAATATTTTTTGTTTTACATTGTTCATCATAAGTATTCCTCTGCACTCGTTGTATTAAATTCAGGATTACTTAACGCATTATTAGAACATCACTGAAAGATTCTCTCACGAAATATTATATCTAATCAAATGATGTGTGGTAAAGGCTCACATTCTTCAAAGAAGATTTGGCGTGGTTGAAGACATCACTGAAGAAAAATAATAGATTAGCTTAAATGGTTTTAGCGATCAACGTATCTACTGCAAAGAGCCCTTATCACAAGTAGAAGTTGTGAGTCTCTAAAGAGCCTTCAGTGTTGATCAAGCAATGAATATAAGACTTGTTGGTAAAGCTTCTACTTTCTCTCTCTCTCTCTTTGAAGAAAAGCAAATATGACTCACGCACTATGCAACAAAGGTACATTAAGGTGGTGGTTGGGGTTAAGAATGTGCTTAAAGGTTGTATTCAAGTTCTCTCATTGTATTTGTCTTTGTAATAGTTAGTTTTTTGTTAATTTTTTAGTATAAATAGGATTTAGCTTGTTAATTATAATTAGTTCAGTTCAGATTAGTTGTTGTTAATCACTTTGTCCCCCTTTCATGCATGGCCACTACGTTCGTACACTATTCACTATCGGCCAAAATTGGACTTAAAATGGTCAAGCATGCCTCTTCTGGCCTGTCTATTAGTGACATGTGGACAGTAGTGGTACAGTACATTAGATGCATTAATTATAAATACCAATGTAGAGCTCTTTTATCCATGTACATCCATTAGAGCTCATTTTATCTATGTGTATTTGCGAGAGAAACTGTACCTAGGATTATCACTTGGGTTTCGGCTTTACCTTATCTTCTTCCTCAAACAATCTATAATTATTGGCTTCATCTTCAATAAGAATTAAAAAGTTGAAAAGGTAGTGTGTGTTTTCAACCCCCCTCTCTACAAACCCTAATGCAACGATTGAAATACCCTTTGGGACTGACAGGTCTATTGAGTCGTACGGTCTGTGAACAACTCTAGTTGTTAGTTAAGTTACAATATGGACTCGTAGGCATGAAGTGCACACTCGTAGAAACTATCTAGAACTCGAGATAGTTGGATGTCTCCATATGATGGGGGTCAAGGGACAGCAACGTTGGCGGGGTCCAAGAGACAACTTGTGATGTCGAGGGCTTGAGGCAACGTCCCAAAAGAAAACAAAATGTAAAGGAGAAAAAACCAAGGATTTTAATATCAGCTTTATTTATCAATGTTTGTAAACATTGATGAAAGTGTCTTCAGAGTTGGTATTTCCATTTGATGCTCATTAGCTGATGGATTGCCTACTAAAAGGTATCAGCTGATGAGTGAGTTTAACTCTGACAGGAGTTTAACCCTCATGAGTTACATATGATGAGTGATCAATTGATGGGAATCAACTAATGGTTTGTTGCTCATGTATTATCAGCAAATAGTTTGCCACCTGATGATTTATCAACGCACGTGTTGTCTAGTAATTTTGTAACTACTCTAATTTCGTAACCATCTAGATTAATTCCAACAATCATTTTCATTTTAATGGTGTATTTATTCCTGTATTCATTATAGATCGGTTACAATGTCTCTAGGTTTATAGGTTACGATTTCTGCCAAAATTGTGACTACAAATTTGAGATTGTCATCAAGTTAATTTCATAATATTCAAATAGATATGATCGAAATATAACTTAAGGAAAACGAATTCCAACACAATTTAAAGTCTTATCCAGACGATTTACTCAATATTTTCCCACCAATGTGTTATAAAAACTAATAACATACTTGTTTTTTTTTTTTCTTTAAGGCCAATTTTTTGTTTATTTCTACTAGTCAAATCCACTACAAGTACAACCGGTTGGATTATTTAAGTTGTGCTACAATAAAACAATTAAAATATAGAAATCATCAACAACTAACTAAAACTAGAGTCATACCCGTCCATTGGTTAGGTACATTAGAATTAACAAATAAAACAATAAGTGTTAGGTTTTAATACAAAAATTTGTAAAGCGGAAAAAATCAAATCAAATATTTTGGCTACAATAGTTAGAAAGTTTTTCTAATACATAAAACTTATAGCCGGATCCAATGAGACATTTAAAAAATTATTAACACATCACAGAGTGTTTAAGAATGTACCTTTTAGGATCTAGCGAGAAATCTGATGCAGCACTTAGAAACCGAGTGGGGTTTTCTCTACCATTGATCCACATACGAACACGCGTAGATCCTCTACCGGGTGTTAACCCAAAAGAATCCTAATTTCTAAATATGTGTATTTAGACTAATAACCAAATTCAGAGAATTCAATCACCAGACTAGTTAGGTCTATTACCTATTTATATTGACATGTATCTCAGATAGACCACAACTCAAAGAAGGTATTAATGTTTATCTGTAAATATTCATATAGTCATACATATTTACAAATAAAACCTTGTGATTATCATAATTACATTTTTACACCTATTTTATAATTATTCTTCAAAAATAACTATTAGCAGTTTCGCTATTTTTACTTATAAAGGCAAAAAAAAAGGAGCCGTTTTCAAGTCAACATTACTCTTAGGTTACTTATTGAAGCAAACATGTTCTTTATGTGTGACCCTATAAGTTTATATACTCCCGAGTAGTATCTCTGTGACACGTGTCGTGGGAATATAATAACTTATAAAAAGATATGTTAATTTGGTCATGCTAGTCATGGGTAGCCGTGAACACGAATGATGATTGATGTCACACAATTTTTGGTATTGTGAGGACACAAATCATCTATTCTCTTGAGAATCATATATAACCAAGATAGAACAACATCAACACATATAACAATTTGCTTGAGGATGACATAATGAAGACCAATATCACTTTAGTTTATCCTCAAACAGGTATAGGAATGATGATATTTTAAAATTTGGTTCAACAATGTGCAACAACATACAACATGGAATCCCCTCGCCCTGTCGTTTTACAGTTAGGAATCCCTCTTTTCTCCCCCAATCTATCGATCCATATGGTTTGAAACCATAAAACCCTCGATCGTATTTGCGTAAAATGACGAATATGTATCACCTAAAATAAAGGGGAAAGTCTAAAAAAACCAATAAACTATCTGATTTTGAATAATTAAATTGTTAAACTATTGTTTTAATGATTAAATTCTTAAACTATTTTTTTAAATGATAAATACCTTAAATTTTCTAAAACTGCTTAAATACACCCTTGTAACATGTAAAACAAGTTAATGTGATAGAAATTTATGAAAAGTTAAAAAAAAAAAACCAACAAACTATCTGGTTTTGAATGATTAAGCCCCTAATAACTTTTTAACAAATAAATCTTTGAATTTTTTCCTAAATTTTTTTGCCAAATAAATTCTTGAACCTTTTTGAAGAAACAAAATCATGAACTTAATTTTGAACAAATAAATCCGAATTTTTCATCAAAAAATAAATACAATTACTCTTACTGACAACAAAATACACTGAACCAATTTAAAAAAACTATAACACTCTCGTTACTACTTCTGAAGCATACAAAAGGTATGCCCAAAGTATAAATAAATACTTTGTTAACGGTGAGAGAAATTGTAATAAAAATGGTATAATTTTTATCTGACTTTGTTGTTGATTAGAGAAATTATATCTTTTTTTGTTTAAAAAAGTTTTGGATTTATTTATTCAAAATTTAATTTAATTTCTTAAAAATGAAATTCAAGAATTTATTTGATAAAAAAATTTAGAAAAAAAATTGAGGATTTATTTGTTAAAAAAGCACGAGGGACGTAATCATTTAGAATCATATAGTTATTGGGTTTTTCTATTTTTTCCAAATTTTTATCACAATTAACATGTATTTAAACAATTTTAAAAAAAAATTGAGTGTTTTTTGATTAAAAAATAGTTTAGGAAATCAAAATTAAATTATGCTTTTATTTTTCATAAAAAGAAAAAAAACAATAAATCTATACTATATAATAAAACATTTGGTAAAAACTCTTAAAAACCATTTTTTATGCATTAAGTACTGTTTATTGATGCATATTACTTAAAATTCAAAATTACAAGTTAATTATGCATAAATACAACTTATTAAAGCTTCTTGTTTGAAATCGTGTAACTAATTGCAAATAAACATAATCAAATAAAAAATAAACATCTCATTTTAAATATAAAAAATCTAAAATATAATTAAGATAATCATTGACTTGTAATAAAATACTTAATTATTATCAATATAGAAAATTATATTATTAAACCAAAATTAAAAAAATGAATTACAGAACTATACAAGAAAACAAAATATTATAAATAGTTAGTCTGATATTAATATCAATATATTTTTTAATTTTTTATGATATTTTCATATTTATATTTTATTAAAAAATAAAAACGTTATTGTTTTTTCAAAATCACATAAAAACATATTATAACATCTACCAACAAAAAAAAAAAAAAAACAAAACATTAAAATCGAGATTTAATTCAGTGCATTGTAGTTGCACCCTTCCGGTAGATTTAGAATACAAAAGAAACCCATCCACAATTCATTCCATTTTCTTGGTTTTGTTGCAATAAAAAATGGAATGAATGGTGCAACGATCACCCGAATTTCAGGTACATTACAACGGGCTCTGTTTTGCTCCACATTCCCCCATTTACACACACTCGCCAAACCAATTCTTTCCAAGTTTTCTCTCAGGATCAATCAGCCTTTGGAGTTCTTTATAGGTAAATGTTCGAATTTTGATCTTGATTTCATTGATTATGCTTACAAATTGGTTCGGTTTCATTTTCCGTTTTACTGATTCTGTGCATGGCGTTTATTAGCGGTTTCAGAATTTTGTGATGATGATTATTTGCGAATCAACGACTGTCTGTTAGTTTTGTCTAAAGACGATTTGAATCTGCAGTTCGATTTCAGAAATTCCGTTGTATTGTCAAGGAGATGCCTGTTTGTATGTTGATTTTCGTAATTTAACGTGATGATGTGAAAGCGTTTTGTTGATGATTGCATTCGTTGGGCATGACATTGTGGAATCAATTTGAGATCCTGTAATATTTTCGCCTTATGTTTTCATGTTCCGGAGATCTTAAACATCTTTTACTTTTATGATCACAATTTCGTTTCTGAATGGTATGATAAAATGAAGTTGTTATACAATATTTTGTCGATAACTTTTGCTCCACATTTGAATGTTGCAATTCTCTTCAAGACAATTGTTCCCTAATTATAGTTACACACACATACATATCTACAGGCATGCACACATTTACATATACATGCATTAATATGAATACACACATAGAAGTCACATATACATACATCGATACACTGTATATTATATGCAAGGCCGTCTCTTAGCATGTTAAATGTGAGATTTTGAACAGACCCTCGAAATTTTGCCGCCTAAATTTGCATGTGTTTAGGTCTTTTCATCGACTTGTTTAAAACTATACCCGGGATTATTTAGGTTCAAATCATTAATTGTTTGGTTTTAGGTTCAAATTATTAATGGTTTAGTTTAGTTTCAGATGTTAATCGTTTTAGGTTTAACTCATTTTTGTTCTTAACATATATCTGATTTATATAATTTACTCAAAAGTTTTTGATGTAGCAGGGCTCTAAAAAGATTGGAACTTCCCAGATTATATGTATATATACATATGTATATCAATTACCCTTGCATTTTAGAATTGCTTACGCTGTATCGATATTGCTAGTATTGCCAATAAGTTAAAATTTTGTTATCACTAGACTTTGAATAGATCATGCTTCTGAACACAAGAAAACACAATTTATTTTTGTTTTAAAATTTCGTCTAATTTTGTAAGAAAGAAACAATCTCAGCAAACATGACACTCTGTTGCCAAACAAAAATATACGTTTTTTCGATTACAGAAAATGTAGATGTTACAAAACTGAGGCTGTGTTGTTATATTTTCTTTTCAATTGTTCGCATGGTGATGATTTTTGATCATGATGTTCCCTTTGGAATATCTTGATGTATTTGTGTTACGTCATCTGTGTTTTTCCCAGATATTTTTAGTTGTGAACAACAAATCCACATTTGACATTGTTAAGAACTACTTTTCCCTAAGTCTGTTGATGATTCATCCACTCAGCTACATTTGATCATGCCATCTCTCACAGGATTTAGTTAAGATGGCGGACTCAGAAGACATTCAGCCACTTGTTTGCGATAATGGAACTGGAATGGTTAAGGTATTCATTCGAAAGTGGTATTGTACTTTTGTAGCTAAACTGCTTTACTCTCTTTTTCTTTCGGGATCGGAAGACATTCAATGTCTTCCTTTCAGGACCCGAATTCATTTTTCATAGCCACCCTCAATATATATGCAACGATGAACCAGCAAATGGTTTAATGATATTTGTGTTGAATATCTAAATGCTACAATATTCTGTAATGTTCCTTTTAAATTGGAACATCACAAATGGAAAATTGGAAATTGAGGCATTTATTTATGGAGAAGTTAATATATAGAAGTGAATAAATGTTGCTAAGTCTTCTGTGGTTAATTACTGTTATTATTAAGGCTGGATTTGCTGGAGATGATGCCCCACGAGCAGTTTTCCCCAGCATTGTTGGGCGGCCTCGTCACACTGGAGTGATGGTTGGCATGGGGCAAAAGGATGCATATGTTGGTGATGAGGCTCAGTCCAAGCGTGGTATTCTAACTTTGAAGTACCCAATTGAGCATGGCATTGTGAATAACTGGGACGATATGGAAAAGATATGGCATCACACCTTCTACAATGAACTCCGTGTGGCTCCAGAGGAGCATCCTGTTCTCCTTACGGAAGCACCTCTTAATCCGAAAGCCAATCGTGAAAAGATGACCCAAATCATGTTTGAAACCTTTAATGCTCCTGCTATGTATGTTGCAATTCAGGCTGTTCTTTCACTCTATGCCAGTGGCCGTACGACTGGTAACCTTCTTTCTTTTTATCTCATCAGTGTTTCACCTGAGCTTTACATCCTACTCTCTGTAGACCCCACCTTCAGATGGGATATAATTTGCTAGTTTGGTTTTGCTTGTGGTTTAGACAATTTATGATTTATAAACTAAGAGGCTAACACAAATTGGGTAAACTCTTACCGGATAAGAGTCACCTGCCTCACTTTTCTTACCCGTAAGATTCTCTATCATCAAAATACAAAGGAGGACCCAGAAATTTTTCCCCAAAGTGGCACCCTTTGACCATAAGGATGAAAACTATAGAAATGTTTCCCAAAATTATTATAGATTAGTTGGTTGAATGTTTGTCTTTGTCATAAAAGATTCTTGGTTCTCGTCCTCGCACAATTGTTTTCATCCAATTTTTAAAAAATAGAACCCCAATATTTCAAGCTAAAAAACGTGAATTTTGCTAACAGCAAGATTCAAACCCATGCTTTTTTGAAGGGCAGATACTATAACACAGCGCCTTAAAACCAACTCACCCACCTTATACTTCTATAGCAAGTTTAGTTTTATAAACATATCCTTCAAATTCGTAAACTTTTTTCCACAACGAAACCATGAAGTGGTGGCACGGGCCACCGAATTCCCCAGCATGGTTCCGCCTCTGTCAAAATAACATTGTACAAGTGTCTCTTCCGAGCAAATGCTAACAAGGTAAGAGTCATCACTATTTACCGGGTAAGATTCTCGGTTAGCAAAATGGCACGAATCATTTTTTTAACGGGTAAATGTCCCTTACCCGGTAAGAGGGTGTAAGTGTTTGCTAACCAACCTCTAATTTTTCAGAAGCCTCCTAATTGTGCAGGTATCGTTCTTGATTCTGGAGATGGTGTGAGCCATACAGTTCCCATTTACGAAGGTTATGCACTCCCACATGCCATACTGCGTCTGGACCTTGCTGGGCGTGACCTGACTGATGCATTGATGAAGATTCTGACGGAACGGGGTTATTCCTTCACAACAACTGCTGAACGAGAAATCGTAAGAGACATGAAAGAGAAGCTAGCATACATTGCACTTGATTTTGAGCAGGAACTAGAGACATCGAAGACTAGCTCTGCAGTCGAGAAGAGCTTTGAGTTGCCGGATGGGCAGGTGATCACCATTGGTGCTGAGCGTTTCAGGTGCCCGGAAGTCCTTTTCCAGCCATCGATGATCGGAATGGAAGCTGCTGGGATTCATGAAACAACATACAACTCTATAATGAAATGTGATGTGGATATTAGGAAGGATTTGTACGGAAACATCGTGCTGAGCGGTGGCACCACCATGTTCCCTGGTATCGCTGACAGAATGAGCAAGGAAATTACTGCCTTAGCCCCGAGCAGCATGAAGATTAAAGTGGTGGCTCCACCAGAAAGGAAGTATAGTGTCTGGATTGGAGGCTCCATCTTGGCATCTCTGAGCACATTCCAGCAGGTGGATTCTTATTATCTGTACCTATATTGCTTATTTGCACACACTTTGTCTGCTTCTTTCCACACTGTTAAATTTTACAATCTCTCTCTACCTCCTCTTGGGGTACTCCTCAGCAAACCCCATGGGATATGCTAATGTTTTTGGATGATTATTTCCTTCCTTACCTCTATATTATGTTGGTTTAGTTACCATGGGTGTGTATTTTGGATGCGGAGGATTAATGGTTATGAAAATAATGGCAGATGTGGATCGCAAAGGCGGAATACGATGAATCGGGGCCTTCCATTGTCCACAGGAAATGTTTCTAAGCATGAAAAAGGAGAAGAGAAAATAAAAATAAAAGGTGGGGAAATGCTGCTGCTGCTGCTGCCCGTTTCTTGTTTTTCATTTTTGGTAGTTGAAATAGTTTTTTGCATATTAATTTGGTTGTTTCAATACTCAACTGTCAATTGTCATTTGTTTCTATGAATGAATCCCTAATTGGAGACTTAAAAGTCTATGTGGTCCTCCATTATAAAAGCTATGTTTGGTAGCGTCAACTCAACCGGTAACAAGACTTGAGGGAATTTCCACCATTCAACCCTATGTTTGGCAACCACAAGCTAATAGGGGCCGTTTACCGAACGTCAGGTCCTGATTATCACCTAAGGTAATTAATATGTGATTATCTGATTAAATGATTTCGTGATAGCATGATAAATTGTTATATTTGATCATGTTGGTATGTGAAAATGTGCATAATATGAAATGCATATGTTATATATATATATATATACATAATATATGTATGCATGCATATGTGTGTGTTTATGTGTGCATAAGTGTATATGGTAGTGTGAATAAGAAAAAGGGGCTGATTAGCCGACTTTCCTGATTTGGAAAGTACGAAATGGAGGTTGAGCCTCCATATTTTTCCCTTCTTGCTTTGGCAAAAAGCTGTGTGATTTAAAAAGAGGAGAAGTTGATCGGATATCTTGTCTGGAGATTCAAGATTTGATTTCAAGTGTTTGATTTCAAAAGTTTGTTAAGGTGAGTAGTTTCTAAAACTCTTTTGCATAAAAATTATTACTGGTTTCATATGAATTTTGTTTGAATTTGGATAGAAATCAGTCTTTTTGCTCTAAGTGTTTATCCGGATATTAAACCGGACAAGGTTTGACCGGATTATCTTAAATCGGACAAAGGATGGACGGAGTATTGTCCGGATTATTTTAAACCRGACAAAGGTTAATTGATGTGTTGTCCGGATTGTCTTAAATCGATTAAGTATTGATCGGATTATGATTGGTAAGAATGATTATCTTTTTATACTGAGAAGTAAGAATACGACCAAACGGTGGCCGGATTATTTTAAATCGGCTAAGTAATGAGCGGGGTGTTGACCGGACTTGTTATCCGGACAAAGATGATTTTGATTCTAAGTGATAAATCGATCAAGCTTTATGCGGGGTATTGACCGGACTTGTTATCCGGACAAAGATGATTTTGATTATAAGTGATAAATCGATCAAGCTTTATGCGGGGTATTGACCGGACTTGTTATCCGGACAAAGTTATTAAGAATTATTTCCAAGTGTGAATCGGACAAAGTTAATTCTATGTGTTGTCCGGATAGTTGACCAGATTTGAAGTCCGGCTAAGTCAGGATTGACTGGATTTGTTGTAATGTTGTGTTTTCGATGAAAATGGTATTTTATCATGAAAAAGAAGTTTTGAAAGAAATGATTTTGTATTGATAATAATTTCAGTGGCTGCGGTTTATTTGAAATTATTTTGTGAAAATATTTTAATGAGGAAATAAGGGTGACATATCAAGGAGAGGTGTACCATGTGATAAGGGTGGCATATCGAGGAGAGGTGTACCATGTGATAAGGGTGACATATCAAGGAGATGTGTACCTTTGGATATAAGGGTGACATTTGCATGTGTGTTGTATGTTATAACTCATTCTATTATATCCTTTAAGACTACCGTGGTCCGGAGTCTTTATTTCTTTGTGACTTAAAGATTTAGAATCAAGGTTCTTATTGGAAATCATAGGTTGGATGTTATTGAGGAGAAAATGTCAGGTTTGGCCTGAAGCTTTATATAACCTTGTTTGGTTAAGAAAAGGTTTAAAAATGGCATTATGTGGAACCTGATTGGTTCAGAGTTTTGAGATTTGAATAAGCGGAATGCTTTACTTGTTAAATGGAAAAGATCTGGTAATACGTTTCTATTTATTTCATATATTTGTTATATATATGAAATGATATTTTTCCCTAAAGGTTTTGGTGATTTTCACCCTGCAATAACATAAATAGGATATCTCACTAGACCTTTCGGTCTAACCCTCGTTTTGTGATTTAAATTATGTGTTGCAGGAGGTTCGGACAGTAAGGGGAAGGGAAAAGTTTAATATGTTCCTTTATGCGCTTCTGCTTGAAGATCTGTTTTGATTGAATAGTACAAGAAATGTAATTTGAATTTTTGGACCTTGTATCTGGTCATGTTAGATTCTTGTACTAAGGGACTTGAATGGAATGATATCATGTATTTCTTTTGTATGAAATATGTGTTACATGCAATATGTATGGGGTTGGGGCGTTACAATTACCTCACCGGATGAATATGCTAAATACCGAGAATCTTACCCGGTAAGAGCGAGATAAAGACCAAAAGATTTACCCGGTAAGTGAGGGCAACAACTTTTACCATGGTAAGCACTTACCATGTAAATTGTTGCATACGATATCGTTTTGATGGACTAAAATCTTACCCGGTAAGTAAATAATAGTGTTAAATTTTACCGAAGATAATATTTAATAAACGGCTCCTTACTCTATTGAAAGAGGTCATATAATAACTCATAAACTAGCTTATAACCAAAGTCAAAAGTAAAGTTTCATACCTTCATTTGAGGTTCCAAGCTAAAGAATTTCAATTCACTTCTCTTCTCTTCTTTGACTTGAGTCTCACACTCCAAGAAAATAAGACACACTCACCTAATCTAATATGAATCTGGAAGTTTTAAGAAATAAAGGAATATATAGAGAGAGACACGTTCAAATGAAAACCGTGTAATTTTTAGAAATCGTGTAAACTAATTTTAATCAATAGGAAAATTCCATTTTTTTTTCTAATTAAATTTAATCATTAAGGGTATATTGGTCATTTGTATTGTTTTCTATTAAATATGGAAGTTATTAATAAATCTTAATTAAGGTAACATAATAAA